CCTCCTCCTCCTCCTCCTCCTCCTCCTCCTCCTCCTCTTCCCTCTTCTGCTTCTCCTCTCCTCAATTCCCACTCCCTTCTAGCACTGATGACATTCACTAGTTGGGTCATGAAACGTCTGCAAGGAAACTACCCAGCTCAGAGAGCACTAAGGATCTGACCATTCAGTTCTGAGCTACAAATTCCTATTGTTTCCCCCCTGGGCAGGTTGCTGGTTCAGGAGGAGCCAAACCTTGGGAGATGCCACTGAGGTGGAATCTCCTGTCTAAAAGATGCGGCCAATGTAGGACCTCAGCTGAGACACGAGGTCTCCTTTGCCTTGCCAAAGGTTCAACCCCCCTTCTAGGTTCTGAGCTCATGGCAGGAGGCCCCGTGGATCACACAGAGTTCTTACCTTCTCCTCCTCCTCCTCCTCTGCTTCCTTCCCTTCTTCCTTCTCCTCCTCCTCTGCTCTCTCCTCCTTCTCCAGTCCAGCCACAGTGACACAGGTGATTACAACCACCGGGGGTCTCTCCTCAAAGAAGTAGTAGCCTCTGCATTGCCTGACCACCTGTGTAGAGGAAAGAAAACATGGAAAGAATCAAGCCATCTCCCAAAATTCGTTCCACAGATGCCACCACCTGCTTTGCCATGGAGAAATCTTGGATCAGCCCCTGTGGTTGCTTCAACCACGTCCTTCATTAGGCAAGATCTACCTCAATCTCCATGGATCGGGCTCCCTTCTCTATCCACGGCATTGGGCCTAAGTATTGAGTTGGAGAACGGAGAAGACACCCAAGACAAAGATAGACAAGAAGGAGGCCGCCTCAGATATGCTTTTTCTTCAACCCAGCGAGGATGGAATCCATTTTCATCTCTGCCCAGAAGATCCTACAGATGTCCCACGCCCTCAACACATTGCCAGTCCAGGTTGGCATCCATCACTCACCCCGTCTTCTCGGAAGTCACATTCCTCCAAGGAACATACGGCTTCCACCGGACACACCGTCTCCTTCATGGTGAAGTTCAGCACCTGGTTGCTTTCAGAAATGGGATCCTGAAACAAGACACGGTCCAGCAGGGGCTTAATCTGGACCTTCCTCCCACGTTACTTCGGAACTACGTTGAATGACTCTTGGCGGAGCCACCAGAATGTGGCTACAGAGCAGAGTCCATGCAGGTTTTGGATTCCATGCCCATCATCCTGAACGACCGTGGATGAAGGCTCTTCAAGATCTCCATGCTTGGAGAACAAGATGGATGGATTCCCCCCCTTTTTCCACTAACTTACTGGCGGTCTCGGAACTGCCGCTCATCAGGGATGGACCTTCTCTACAAAACAAGCCCACGGTGGACCTCAACGGAGGAGTCCCCACCCAATCAGACTCACCAAGGGCCTCCAGAAGCCACTATACACCGTCTTCCCCTGCTTTGCTATTGTAGGTGGCCACGCAAGGCCCACAGCCTTGTCGTGGGTCAATGGTTTGTGTGGAAGTGAGAAGGTCCCACCGATGGGAAGAGCCCCCAACCACCCCGTCAACATCGTCCAGAAACAGCCTCCCATCCTTGGTTCTTCTGCCATGGAGGCCTACAGCCGATGGGCGGGCCTCCCTTTTCCAGTTGCTTCTCCAGACCCCTCCCCACAAGGGATGGGTCTCCCCTTTCAAAGGCTCTAAGCGGGAGGGGATCAAGTCCAGGGTGGACCTGAGCGAGGGAGAACCTACCCACTCAGGCTGAGGAACAGCCTCCAGGAGACGGTAGCGGGAGTCTTCCCCTGCTTTGCTATTGTAGATGGCCACTCCAAGCTCCACGGCCTTGTTGTAAGTCAGCGGTTTGTGTGGAAGGGAGGAGCTCCCGCCGATGGAAAGAGCCCCAATCACCAGCAAGGCCTTCCAAACGTTCCCTTCCATCCTTGGTTCTTCGACTAAGGAGGGCCACAACCGATGTGGTCCTCGGGAACCAGGCTGCCTCCTTTTATGCCCCGATATGCAAGTTGTCCACTCGCTGGTGGATGGCCAGGGGGTTCCCACACTGAATTTTCTAAGGTCCTTCCTGCACAATTTGACACTTTGGCGAGGGGTGGAGACGGAGACAAAGCAGGGCCAATCAAAAACAGTTTTGTTCAGATGGAGGACAAAGAAACAGGTGCTGCACCTGGCAGGCCCACGGAAAGTGGTTGGTGTAGATTACGGTCCCCTCCATTTTTTTTTCATTCATGAGGGTTGCGGATGGATGCCAAGGTGTAACCTCAGAGTAGGAGACCATAAATAATCTTGCGCAGGATCTTCTGTCATTGAGTTAGGGTTGCGAAGTGTCGAGTAGCAGCCCAGAGAAAAAACTGTGTCCCCCAAACAGTGATATAAATGAGGCACTTTGGTGGAGGTGCAGGCCGAAAAACCAGGAGACGGTGAGTTCTAGTCCCGCCTTAGGCATGAAAGCCTTCTGAGTTACGACGGGCCCATCACCAGGAGACAGTGAGTTCTAGTCTCACCTTTGGCATGAAAACAAGATGGGTGACTGGGCCCATCACCAGGAGACAGTGAGTTCTAGTCTCACGTTAGGCATGAAAACAAGATGGGTGACTGGGCCGATCACCAGGAGACAGTGAGTTCTAGTCTCACCTTTGGCATGAAAACAAGATGGGTGACTGGGCCAATCACCAGGAGACAGTGAGTTCTAGTCTCACCTTAGGCATGAAAACAAGATGGGTAACTGGGCCAATCACCAGGAGACAGTGAGTTCTAGTCTCACCTTAGGCATGAAAGGTGGCTGGATGACTTCGGGCCATTTCTCTCTATCTGCCTACCTCACAAAACTGTGACTGTGGGAAAATAGGAAAAGAAAGGGATATTATATATACCTGGTGCTTTAAGTTCCTTGTAAAAATAAGGAAGACAGTTTTTAAAAATCTAAACAAAAACGAGGCCGTGACTTAGTTGTTATGGCATTATTGGGTCTGTTTTTGTCCTTGGCTGTCAGGGTGTGTACTGTCGTGGTGTTAATTGGTTTTATTGTGTTTAACTTGGTTAGCTGCCCAACATTGCTGTTATGGGTGTCTATAAAAATGTATTAAAGGCAACAAAAGCCCATGGAGAAACTCCATCAGGGTGTTGGCTAAGAGTCAGCAAAGACTTAAGGGTACCTAATCAATCAATCAATCAATCAATTAAATGCAATTGTCTCAAATTATGTAGGGTCTCCTGCATGAACAGGGGGTTGGACTAGAAGACCTCCAGGGTCCCTTCCAGCTCTATTCTGATGAAATAAGGTAAGGTCAGGTATGGTAGTGAAAGGTAAGGTAAAGTAAAGTAAGACAAGATGAGAAGATTATTATTTATTTATTTATTTATTTATTTTTGTCAAGCAAGTATTAGATAACAGATATAAATATAAACATGATTATGAATACATGAAATGGATACTAATAAAAGGGAACATTAAGACAGGAGCGGTAGGCACATTGGTGCGCTTATGCAAGCTTGCTCTTAGGAAAGGGGTGAGGTCAACAGTAGACAGTTTAAGGTTAAGATTTTGGGGGTTTGGGAAAGAAACCACAGAGTCATGTAGTATATTCCAGGCACTGACCACTCTGTTGCTGAAGTCGTATTTCCTGCAATTGAGTTTGGTGCAGTTTACTTTGAGTTTGTATCTATCTATTGTGTGCTTGTGTGTTGTTGTGGTTGAAGCTGAAGTAGTCATTGACGGCTAGGACATTGCAGTAGATAATTTTATGTATTACGCTTAGGTCGGACCGAAGGCGGCGTAGTTCCAGGTTGTCTAGGTCTAAAATTTCAAATCTAGTTGCATAAGGTATTCTGTTGCGAGTAGAGGAGTGGAGAACTCTTCTTGTGAAATATTTCTGGACTTTCTCAACTATATTAATATCTCATATGTAGTGCAGGTTCTAGACTGATGAGGTGTATTCAAGTATTGGTCTAGCAAATGTTTTGTATACTCTAGTTAGTAGTGCAATATTACCGGAGAAAAAGCTATGCAGGATTAGGTTAACAATTGTTAATGCCTTTTTGGCTGTGGAGTTACAGAGGGCTCTAGCACTTAGATCATTTGAGATGAGTACTCCAAGATCCCTGACAGAGTTTGGATCATCAACAAGGTCTTGACTATTCAGCCTGTATTTTATTTTCTGATTTATTTATTTTTTGCCAGTATGTAAGACAGACCATTTGTTTGTTGAGATTTGAAGTTGCCACTTTTTGATGTAAGATATAAAATAAGCTTTATTGATATTTTTTATTGTGAGCGCACTGGCCCACATTCAAAATTAAATTATGTTGCCTCCTCCCAGAACAGAATTAGAGGATAATCACTTAAATATGAGCCAGCCGTGTGCTGCGGCTGCCAAAAAAGCCAACACAGTTCTAGGCTACAATAACATACAATAAATAAATGGAAACACCACCACCCTCCACTCCCCATCTTGGTGACGATTAACCAGTGGAACAGCTTGCCACCAGAAGTCGTGGGTGGTCCACCACTGGAAGTTTTGAAGAAGAGACCGGGCAGCCATTTGCCTGGCATAGGCTCTCCTGCTCATGCAGGGGGTTGGACTAGATGACCTCCAAGGTCCCTTCCAACACTGATGTTCTACGTTCTGTCCTCTATGTTCAGGGCCAATCAGGAAGAGGAGGACAAGGAAGTAAGTCCCGCACCTGGTAGACCCACGCAGGGGGATTGGCGTCGACGCAATTACAAGCAACTCCGTTTGTGTTGCTCAGGAGGGGTCGGGGATCTGTGCCAAGGTGTAACCTCAGAGTAGGAGGGCGTGTTGTTCCTCCTGAAACAATCTGCAGCAGAATCTGCCATCTTTGGCACCCTTTTGTCGTGCCTGTGACAACCGACAGCAACGATGGGTTATGGGGCTGATCTTTATACTTCACCAGCTCAATACCCATGCTTCACTATGAAACAATGTGGTCGGGCTTAGTTTTTGGGGAGGAAAATAAGGGCGGGGGAGAATTCTGCCTCTGCCTACCAACATCCATCGGTATTCATCGGGCTAGTGTCCTGTCAATGTGTGAGAGAGTTGAGGGATGTTTGGAAACTGAAGCAGTATTTGCTGTGTGAGCAAGCAGACAGCAAGGAGCCTGGGTGTGGCTTAGCTCAACTGTTCTGGACCAAAGCTGTGAAACTGAAACTGAAACGGAAACTGAAACTCCTCTGCTTGTGTTTTGCATTTGAAAGTGATTTCTTTTCAGGTGGGGAAGGGAAGTAGAAATCCTTAGCATCAGAGCGTGTTAATAAGAATAATACAGGAAATACTCCAAATGCTCTGGTGGTCATTTCGAAAAATCTTTTCTTAGTGAGCCCCTAGAAGCCAAGAGGAACATCTGGGCCAAATTTCAAGTTTGTAGGCTTTTACGGTTCTGGAGATTTTGTGATGATGCATGAGGGGTGTATATAAGATAGATATAAGACAGATATATAAGATAGATAGATGTCTAAGCAGGGGCTCTATTCTGAATTTAATTTAATTAATTCAATTTAATTCTCACCCATGCTGCCCTCCCATCGGCCTCGCCTGTTTTATCCTTTTGCCCACTGGAGGTTTGAGACGGAATTATTGTCCTAAATTCTCTACTCAGAGTTGTCACAAAGCATTTATCCAACTTGGAAATTTGAAGACAGCCAACTGGGTGACTCTGGGCCCACCAGCAGGACGCTGGGAGGTCTAGTTCCACCTTAGGAATGAAAGCCAACCCGGCGACTTTGGGGCCCCCCACCAGGAGACGGTGAGTTCTAGTTTTGCTTTAGACATGAGGGCTGACTAGGTTACTTTGGGCCAATCAGCAGGAGGCAGTGAGTTCTAGTCCCGCCTTAGGCAAACAAGCCAGCCAGGTGACTGGGCCACACCCCTTTCTCAGCCCCGCCCACCTCACAGGGTTGTTGTGTGGGGGAAGATAGGAGGAGGAGGAGGAAGGCGTATCAGACATGTTAGCCACCTTGAGTTACTTACAAAAATAATAAACACGGGATAACATTAAGCAAAAGAAGCTGTGAGTTGTCGCAATGGGATCTTTGTGGCTTTTGTTGACTCCTACGTGTAGGAGTAGTCCTCGACTTACGCACACAATCGAGCCTCAAAGTTCTGTTGTTAAGCGAGACATTGGTCAGGTGAATTACCTGTCACCCAGGATTACCTGTCATTCTCCTCGCAACCCAGTTAAGGCCCAAAATAAACTCAACCGTCAAACTGAGATAAAACGTCACGAAGGAAACGGAATTGGGGGTGAAGGACGAGACGCGGTTGGAAAAGAAGGAAAAACAAGATTCTTGCCAAGAGAAGTTTTCTTATTTATTTATTATTCAGAAAATTCACACAGCCTTTTAAATCAGTTTCGGTGACTCCGGAGTGCTTCCAAAACACGGATAGTCCTCAAGCTGCAACGGTTCATTTAGTGACCGCTCCAAGTTACAACGGCACTGAAAGAAAAGTGACTTATGACCCTTTTTCATACTTACAACCGACTCAGATTCTTGGCAACTGACTCGTATTTACGACGGTCAGGGTGTCCCTGGGGTCACGTGATCCCCTTTTGCGACCTCCTGAGAAGCAAAGTCAATGGGGGAAGCCAGATTCGCTTAATGACCATGTGACTCGCTTAACAAATGCAATGATTCGCTTAACAACTGTGGCCAGAAAATTCATCAAATGGGGCATAAGTCGTTTAGCAAACGTTTCATTTAGCAACATAAATTTTGGCCGCAACTGTGGTCATAACTCAAGGACTATCTGTAGAAGCAGGATAGAAAAACTGATTTTACTCCCCAAAAGGCTCATATTTTGCAAAGGAGGGACTTTATCTGTCTCATTTGGTATTTACAGGTTGTCCTCGACTTACGACCAGAATTGAGCACAAAATTTCTGTTACTAAATGAAACATTTTTCAAGTGAATTTTTGCCCTATTTTACGCCCTTCCTTTCCTGCATTTGTCAAGCAAATCCCTCCAATTGTTAAGTCATCAACACGGTCGTTAAGCGAATCTGGCTTCCCCTTTGATTTTGCTTGTCAGAATATCGCCAAGGGGGGATTACGTGATTCCTTATGTGACCATCATAAGTATGAGTCAGTTGCCAAGCGTCTGAATTTTGATCACAGGGAGGCTGTGATGGTTGTAAGTGTGGGGGGGGAAAAAACAGTCCCGAGTTCCTTTTTTCAGTGCCATTGGAAATTTGAACGGTCACTAAATGAACCGTTGTAAATCGAGGACCGCCTATATTGCCATTTTATAAAAAGCTGGGTTACTGATTCTAAGTCGCGCCCTTGTTGGGAAATCCTGGTCTGGATCCTTCGCCCTAAACAGGGGTCTAAACGGGGAGAGCAAAGCTGGGGATTTCTTTAATCGATGGGAGATTGGAAGATCCGGTCCTTGCGAATCGCGGCTCAGAAGCGGAAATTCACGCCGAATACAAAGTGGTTATTCCGGAAGAAATCTCGAACGCCATCCCGGATCCTGTGGAAAAACTCCTTGAATCTCTTGACACGTTTGGACGGGTCCTAGAGAGGAAGGACGTAGGACACAGAGTTGTAGGGGGCCTTCGAGGTCATGTAGTCCACCACCCCCCACCCCTGCTCCCAGCAGGAAACCCTCTTTCCTCCTCCCCCTCCTCCTCCGAATAACAGAGTTGGAGGGGACCTTGGAGGTCATCTAGTCCAACCCTCTGCTCTAGCAGGAAATCCTCTCTTCTCCCCTCCTGCTCCTCCTCCTCCTCCTCCTCCTCAGAATTACAGAGTTAGAGGGAGCTTGGAGGTCTTCTAGCCCAACCCCCTGCTGTAGCAGGAATCTCTCCACTCCTTCTCTGAATAACAGCGTTGGAGGGGACCCTGGAGGTCTTCTAGTCCAACCCACAGGAAACCCTAGAACATTTCGGACATATCGCTGTCCAATCTCTCAACTGAGATGGGGTCTCCTCCCACCTGGCAAATGGTCCGACCCTCCTTCTTAGGTTTCAAGACCATCCTGGGAGCCACCACACCTCCTTCTTACCTTCTCCTCCTCCTTCTCCTCTTCCCTCGCTGTTCCCACCACGGTGTCACAGGTGAGAACAGCCACTGGGGGCCTCTCCTCCAAGAAATAGTAGCCCGTGCATTTCCTGACCAGCTGTGGAGGAGAGAAAAGCGTGGTGAGAATCAAGAACCGATCCCATAGAGAGCATCATTCGCTTCCCTAGGGAGGAGGAATCTTGCAGTCTTGGTTGCTTCCAGGGCAGCCTTGGACAATCTAAGCTGGTTGACCCTCCGTCTCTCCACGTGCACTTTAGGAGAGTAGGAAATAACCATGGAAGGGTTCAGGTGTTGGGTTGCTCCCCCATCCATGGAGCCGGGTTGGCTTGGAGAACCGAGAAGAAGACGTCCCTCAAGACAAAGGGAGAAGAAGTTGAAGAGGTCTTTCTTCAACCCAACGGGGAGGGAGCTCCCGTTTCACCCCTGCCAAGAAGGCCCTACGGAGGTCTCCATCTACCCTACATCACCCGACCAGCCCGGGTATCGATCCCTCACCCCGTTTTCTTTGAAGTCGCATTCCTCCATGGAAAACTCTTCTTCCGCCGGGCACACCGTCTCCTTGATGGTGAAGTTCAGCTCTTGGTTGCTTTCGGAATAGGGATCCTGGAACGAGACACGGCAAAACCGAATGGCTAGTTTGAAGGCCTTCTCCGCTGGGAATCCTTCGGGGGATCCTTTCTGAACTTGCAAGTGGCTGCAGAGGAGGCTCCACGCCAGTTCTAGAAGTTCTGGGTTTCACGCCTATCATCCTGGTGGACCACAGATGGAGACTTTTTTGGAGATCTCCATGCTAGGAGGACAGGGTGGGTGGGTCTCTCTTTTTCAGCTAGCCCCCCTGTAGTCTCAGAAGTGATCCCCAAAGCGATGGGCCAGGAGGGAGGGGACCCAGGGCCTGAAATAGCCCTCCCAACTCAGGGTTAGGACATCTCAGCTTTTAGCCTCGCTTGGGAAAACCTACCAGGGGGGGTGTCCTTTCCTGAAGGATGCAGGAAGAATTGTTTTCAAAGAATGTCCCAGGTGCCAGGAGCTCATGAAACTCTACTGTGTCTCGAACACTCTTTGAGGTGAGTAGCTCCTTGGGTGTAGTATGGAAGGTGCTGGACCAGGAGCTACAGAAACCATCTCAGACCCAGGAGCTTCTAGGGGGACTTGGGGCATCTCCTCTCCTCTCTCTCTCTCTCTCTCTCTCTCTTTCTCTGCCTACCCTACTTCTCAGGCCAGGAGAAGAAGGGAGATGGGGAAGTTGGGTTTGCTGCCTTTGACTTCTGAGGGAAGGTAGACCACACATATTGTCATCATCTTCACCGCAAACTTCATGATTATCACCATCCTCCTCCTCACCATCCTCACCTTCATCATCATCTTCAATTTCATCTTCCTTCTCCTCACCATCATCCTCACCCTCACCTTCAACATTCCCATCCTCCTCAACTTCATCATCCCCATCCTCTTCATCCCCATCACCTTCATCTTCACCTTCATCATCCACATCTTCCTCATCCTCCTCAACTTCCTCATCACTTTCAACCTCATCCCCATCCCCTTCCTCTTCATCATCCCCATCATCCTCATCCTCAACTTCCTCATCCCCTTCCTCTTCATCATCCCCATCATC